GAACATGCCTAACTAATTAAGTAATTTACTACATCCAAACAGTAACAAAACATTTACAAACATTTGAGCAAGATACTCACAAATGGGGTGCATAGACCTGTATAGGTCAGCTCCAGCATGGTCAGGCAGGTATTTGCAATGAACCCTTTAAGAGTTTACTTTTCAGTACACTTTAACAAACAAGTGATGTCATTGCCAAGTATCAGCTCTTACCTAAGGCCAGATGAAAGATTTTCTTTTATATCCAATTATTTACTGCACCTGGTACCCAATCAACTGTGTTTTATGTCTATTACTTTAGCCCAAACCTTAAATAAGAGAACACTGGTATTTCCAATGGTCACTGTAAGTTTAATATACTAACTCTTCTTTCTCATGACCTCATCCTTTTTTGGTCACATGCCTTTGGCCTATCCCAGCTCAATTTAAAACCATAGTCTGCCCAGACATAATGTGGGACTGTATTGGTAGAGGTGGGCACAACTTCAGTCCTCTGAAGGAAACAGGATGTTCCCTAGAACTTTCCTAGGAGTTGATGCTACAGGGGGTGGCTTTAGGTTTGTGGGTGGATGAAGAGGAGAAATGGAAAACTCAAAAATGAAAGTCCTGACTCTGCTTTATCAACATGGCTTCTTTTAAGTACTTGCCAAACTCTAACCAAAACATGCTTTTCTGTGATGTTTGGGTATGCAGGAGAGGGTGGATTCTGTGTGAGTGAAGCATCGTGGCTGGGGAGAGGTTTTCCTTGAGCTGACCCTCTTGCAGTAGGTCTTCTATGCGGGGTGTATGTATCCCACTTTCTCCTTCTATAAGTGCTGGTTCCTTTGTAACCTAAGCCCTAGCCTAAATAGTGAAGTCAACAACTCCCAGCGCAGGGGGCGGGGTAAATGGGGTCCAGAGATATGTTGGCCTTCAGGGAGCACAACTTACTTTCCTATATAGAAAAGAGGATAACCCCTGTGGAGTCTGTGGCTTTTGAGGCCAGTGGCCTTTGCTGCATAGCCTCAGGAACGTTCTCAAAGTCTGAGGCGCATCTGGAACTCCTCTTCCCTTTGAGAGAAGGGTGTGTTCTAGGAATTGGAGGGCTCAGGGACTTCCAACATTTGGCTAATTTTACCTGCATGATTGGTTTTGGGAACCAAAGAAATTGATTCATAAAAGAACTGTCCAGTCTAAGACAAGCAAACATGCCATGCTTGGAAGCTCTCCCTGCTTTCCAGAAAAGGAGTTAAAGGAAGACTAGTATCTTGATCCCCCACGTTGTCTAGACAGAGAAATGCAGATTATGAAGAATCTCACATTCAAAACACAAACATTAAGAAATTCTCAAACAAAACCCTGCTATAAATCCGTCACTTCCCCAAACACCGAAAGGTGCCTCTGCTCAGGCAGCAAAGTGGCTCTGGAGGTTGGAGGCCCAGCTGTTTGGGAGACGAATGAGCCAAAGCTAGCTTAGGAAAAGGGATGGAAATTTGTCACAGTCAATGATGGAAAAATGTTTACAGCCCTAAGAATAAAACTCCCGATTCCCTTCCAGTACTTCAGTCAGATTCTACCCTGGGATGAGATGTGTCATATAGAGTTTCAAAAGGATCTGCTCCTTTGGATTAAGGGGTTGAAAACCAGGCTTGTAATGGGAAGCTAGTTTTCATCTTAACCCCTAGAGCAGTTACCAATGCTCTGTAATACCTGGGGAAGTTTCACCTTTGCTGTGACTTTGAATTTTTCTGTACTACACAGAGGCTATTGTTTTCTGTGGTGGAGACAAATGGAGATTTCTCAACTGTTCCTTCTACCCTCAATCTCTTGGCCTCTTCTGTCTGCTTTCCCCCTTCTCAGCATGGAGAACTTCCCTCCAGCCTGAGCTTGTATCTGGATACCATCAACCTCAGTGGTTGGTCTGTTCACAGGGTCCTTGCTAGTGGACTGTCCTGCACGAATTATTCATAAACTCAGCAGTTCCATTACACCTGGCTGGATACAGTACATACTGCTGGTTAGTGAATATATTCAGCTATATAAATAACTCTGTAAACAACTAACCAAAATCCATCTTCTCCCTCCAGGTCTTGGTGGTGGGCCTGCTGACAACTGTAGGAGATCACGTTCTTAAGCCCTTCTTGGTTGGCGTGTTTAACAGCCTCCTGCAGCCCCTGCTGCTATTCCTATTGAATGTCCTTTGCAGCATCCGGAACCTGACTTATCCTCTTATCGACATCCTGAAAGGCATTTGTTTGCAGCTGGCTGTGGTGCCTCAAGCCTTCAGATTAGTAGAAGTCAACATACAGTCAAAGACACCATTAGCTCAGAAGGTTTAGGCAGGAGACCAAAATCACTTTGACAGGCAGTGAGACAAGCTTCACTCTGGATGCCCCTGGATGTCTTTCCAGGTGCACTGTCCCGCTGGCAGCTTGCCAGCAGGCTGAGCTAACACGCAGCAGAGTGGAGCAGAACGCAGCCCTCTTCATCATGACAATATGGATGTGGCCTCCAGACACTCCCTGTCTGAGCACTCAGTGCTTCATCTTCAGCCAAGCAAGACCATCATTGCATGCTGGACCTGGAGCAGGCCATGCAGTCTGCACTGGGTGTAGTCAAGCTGAGGATGACCATGTACTGACTACATTAGGCAAAGAACTGTGCTTGCACTCTGGGGACCGCTGCTCTAACCCCTCCCAAAGGGGTTTGTAATCACCCATTCAGAATCCTGAAGCATGGGAAGCTCTGTGGATTGACAGTGGCACAGGGACCCAGATGGCAGAGTGAGGTGGGCAGTAATGGCTGCTCTGGAATTGGCCTCCTAGGGGAGGGTCGAAACCCGTCCTCAGATGGCTCTGTCAGAGCCATGTGGAGACCAGGGCAGGTGACCACCCAAACAGGAAAAACAAGTGTAGCTGGATGGTTCTGTCTAAGGCACTGGACGCGAAGCACAGCCGAGCCTGTCTATAACTTGCTAGTGCCCAGTACGACCTCCCTGTAAAATAAAAACTCCACAACCTGGACACTGTGTCTCGAACAAGCTTTTATTCCTCCTCTCCCTGCTGTGAAGTCTCTGCCTTTCACTGGGAAGTGACATTGATACCACTGTTGAGACTGGATTGTCTCCTGCATGGCATCCCCTGACAGTCGGAGTCAAGCTGTAGGAGTCGGGCTTATTCAGGGAGCCACTAAATCTCGTCAGACCTGCTCTTGCCGGTGGTGAACCAGGGATGGCTTGCTGGCCAGAGACGCTGGCTGGAAGCAGGGATAGCCTCCTGCTCCTGGTTGAAGCTCTGTTACTTCCTTGCTCTGTTTGCAGGAGTGGGAGAGCGTAGCTCTGAGGAGAGGAGCTGTCAGCCCTTTCCCCGCCCTCTGCGGCCAGTGAGCCGCCTTGTAGTTTCTGTAGTGAGCTGGGGGGTGCTAACTAACGCATTCATCGCTCCTGTCATGGGTGCTCCGGCTTGGGACTCTGGCACCACTCTCAGGGGGGGCCCGACAGGACCCTGGGCCAGTGTGACACCCCTCAGGGTGCGCTCTCACCAGGGCAAGCCCTCTTAGCTACAGCGCCTCCCGGGTCTGACCTCGGAGCGTTCAGCCCCCCGTCCATGCTCCTCACAGTGAGTCCACCTGGCTGGGACACCTGGGGCAGCCTCATGCCCCCATGTACCCCAGCTCCACAGTCGGAGGTGGCTCAGCCAGCATGTGACACAGGAGGGTTTATTAATCAGTCGGAACATAGCGTAGAACAGAGTTTTGTTTGCACAGAAACAGGAACCTGCAGCAAAGTCCATCCTGGGGGCGGCGAGAGCCCTGGGCTCTCCCACTGAGTCCCAACCCGGAGCCTGACCAGCTTCCAGCAGCCCACCCTCAGTCGTGCCCCATTGCCCCTCCTCCTTCCTTCGTCTCTTTCCCAGGCAAACAGGTCACCTGGGCTCCACCTCTCTCTCTCTCTCTGTTCTCAAACACCTCCGGCTGGCTCCTGCAGAGGATGGGCCGAGCAATCAGTTGCAGGACAGAGCGCTGGCCACTGTCTGTGCACCAGTAGCTATATGGCACTCACAGCTGCCCGCTAGGGCCTCTGCAAGATCACACAGCTTTGCCCCCCCACCTAGATACTTGTGCACCATATGGGGGAAACTGAGGCACACACCATATTCATGCAAAACGTTAAGAAAGTTCCCACTTTGTCACAACTCCTGTATCTGTTGTAGGGGTAGATGTCCATCCCGGGGGCTGTCGCTTTGGATTGTGCAGCAATGCTGATACCCTGTGGGGGGAACGCACAAATTCCAGGATATTCTTTTCTTTTTACTTGTAGGGAGCTATTTGTGGGGGTGAAATGGCAGGAGAGCTGGTTTCCTCATTCTCTTTCCACCAGCTAGGAACTGCACTACCAGAGGTTGTGTTATAGCCCTGCAAATGGCTCCTTGACCCTAAAAAAGCTTATGGGAAAATATAACCACCCAGACAGCTACGCGCCCTTACCCAACCCCTGACTGAGCTGGAGCCCGGAAGAGCCACGACTAACGTACTCCAAGATGCAAAGGGATTCAGTCAGCATCAAACTTCCGCAATCACCGTCTTCTCTGGCATTCTCCACCTGCGGCCCGCAGGCCACTTGTGGCCCAATCAGCAGAGCGCTGCAGCCCATGTGGCCTCCGCAGGGCCGTAGCGGTAGTATTGGATGCGGCCCACTGTGGTAAATAGGCTGAGAGCCACAGCTCTGTAGCGACTCCTGCGGAGAGCGGGGGCTGCGCAGGGGCTGAGTTGCTAAGGCAGCTGTGTTACTCCCTGGGACTAGCTAGAAGGGAGGTGCCCTGCAGTCTTGAACCTCACCTCTGCCATGTGTCTCTCTCAGCTGGGGTCAGGCAATTCAAGATGGCAGCATCCTGAGGAGAAGGGGAGCTAAAGGAAGACTCCACACCTGTCCTGCCCGGGAGAAAGGCAAATTGCATAGAAAACCAGCGAGACGGGAACCGCAGAACGAGCACGGGAGCCCACAAAAACCCCCATGACAAGAACTGCCAGGTGAACTCAATACTTGAATCTTACCTCATGAAGCGCTGAATGAGAGCACGGGTGTCATGGCCCCACAGGATGTTACGCCCTGGCTTTAAAACAGCCCCTTGGAGGAACTGCTTCACTGTGACAGACACCCCAGGGCTCCCACTCTTTCTTAAGGGGAGGCCACCCGGCCTGAGCAGCCCCAAGGCTGAGCCCCTGGGCTCCAGCCTGTGCTGTGAGACTTGTCCGCTCTCCAGGGGCCAGTGCACCTCTGCAAGTATTTGCAGTGACACCAGGCAGCCCTTTCCAAATAAAGTAGGGTTTATTAGTCAACTGCAACATAGCCCTGGGAAGTCCTTAGGTCAGCACAGAGAACCAAAGGTTAAGACGTTGTCCAGACTGGCCAAGGCAGGGATCCCTTCAGCCATGTTCCTGAAGAAAACATCTTGGTTTCCTCACTCTGTCCCTGTCCTTGTCTGTCTCCCAGTCCCACATGAGCTGGTGTCTCCAAGGGCCAGCTTTTATCCCAGCCTCCAGTCACCTCTCGGTCCATTGTCCTGCAGACCCAGGCTGGGTTCACACCTTCTGCCTGTCGGACTTTCCCCTCGTTAGGTGTTACTTGTTCAGTCCTGGGGTTCCCATTGTCTTTCCGGACTCTCAGTTGAAATGGGTGAATTGCAGCCATTCATCCCACCCAGACAGTTACCTTACGTGACACATGTTAGGGGGCTTATTTTTTCACCCGCTTACTTCCCTGGTCCTTCTCGCATGAACAGAGAGCAACAATACCCAAAGTCCAAAGGTGCAAACAATTCGATGTTTATTGGGGTGAACTTCCAGCCAGCATGATTCCAGTTTCCTTCCTCGGTGTCCCCCTTCCCAGCTCTGAGACCACAGAGCCTTACGCCTGTGTCCCTGTTCCCATCCCCCCCTTAGCAAAACATGATTCCAATTCCCCACCCCCCATTGCCTATTCCCATGCTCACCCTTACTTCCTGATTGACTGCAGACTATATAGTAAAACTTGAGTTCTGCTTAGCTAAACCTTAACCTGTCATTTTACTGAAATTTAACTAACCAATTTTAACTGTAAGAATGTGACCGGTCGCTTCCCAGCTTATGGCTGCCTCTGCTGCTTAGCCAAAGGCCTTAGCCTAAGCACAGGGCCTCAGACTGTGACAGTGAGAGAAGGCCCTTACACCAGCAGACAGTGATTTTGATTCTCTGTTTTATACCTCTAGAACTAGCCAAGTGATAAGAATACACCTAAATTCTTAGAGTCTAGGCCTTTGCAGACAGGCCTGAATATCTATATCCTAACAACACATGCACCTGGTGTCTCCTGCTCTGCCCCAGGAGCAGCTTTTTAAGAGTTCTGCACCCATGGAGTAGCTCTCCCCAGCCCAGAGTCACTGCCAACAATATTACAGAAAGTTCCCCTGGCGGCCCTGCGGGTCCCAACAATCCGCTCTCGAGTTTCCATCTTAAACCCAGGGCTGAGAGCGGCCCCCTCGCGCTGCAATTCAAAGCTGCCTGGTATTAAGGAAGGACCTCAGATGCACTGCAGTGACCCCAGAGAAATAAAAGACTGAGGCAGTGGACTCCTCTAGCGCGAGGGTTGGTGATCTCACTTAGCCCGGTTTCAGATCCAGGCTGCGCGCTTCAAACTCACGGCTGGAAAGAAAGCAGAGGTGGGAATAACTATCCACTGTTCTGTCCCTAACACAAAGCACAGGCACCTCACGTAGCTAGAAAGCGTGTTTTATACGTGATAGACCAGGGGGGCTGGGATTCAAATGACAAAGCACAAAGCCCAGTGAATGCAAATATGGTTTGCAACCCCCCCAACTGGTCAGAGCTCCAAACTCTAGCAGGAGCCCCCCTCGTCTGGTTGATCTCAGGCTAGCCCCACCCTCCCCCTCAGTGGAGCAGTCATTGGGCCAGAGAGAGACTGGGAGTGATTCGAGTCGTCTGGTTGGGGGATCTACCTGGGAGGTGGGAGACCCAGGGCCCATCCCCCTGCTCCAATCATGATTTAACCACAGTGGAGAGCCAGAGCACGCTAACCACTGAGCTAGAAGATACAAGGGGGTTGGCGGTGGGACCATGGCCTCCTCCAGCAGCTGGATTCTGAATGGGCTCTGATCTGCGGGAGGCCTCCGAGCGCTGCTACAGACCAGGTCCCGCCCGCGACGTAGGCGGCCAAATGTCCATCTTCCCCCAGTTTATCCATCACTCCGGAGCCGAGGTATGAACTGAGGGGCCCTTTCCCCCTGAAAACGTAGCTACCCAGTGAGTCCGGAGACACTGGGTTCGGTGGGAGTTTCACGAAGCCAAAACTGGGCCTTAGGCGCCTATGGCCAGGGTGAAGACACCAAAGTATCTTTGTGGTTCTGGGCTCAAACCACCCACTCACAGGGGAAAAGGCCATGCAGTCGGGGGTGGGGACCTGCCAGTTGGCTCACCCAGAACCTCACAAGAACAATAACTCCTCTCTCACTTGGCGAAGGCTTGAGCCCAGAGTCCAGGAGACCAATGTGTCCAACACCCAGAGACAGGATTCGTCTGACCAGAGACCAGGCTTGGGGCTGCAGCAGGCCCTAGGCCAGCCCCCATGGAGGTTAGGGGGAGCACCACCCAGCCCCCTCTACCCCCAGCTCTGCTCCAGCCCTGCCCCCAGCCTTGGCCCCCGATTACAGTCCAGCTGCAGCTCTCCACCCGGCCTGGCTGATCAGCATCCCACCACTGACAGCAAAGAACTGAAAGAGAGAGAGAAGGCAGATCAGGGCCTCGATCCCGTGTAAACCAGATCCCATTAACCCCAGAAACCACGGCTCCGGTGTCTTTGCCTTGCCATTGCCCCTTAGCTGTGATCCCTCCAGTGTCTGTCAGCTAGCACAGTGTGTGCCCTGCGCCCTGAGAACACAGTCGGCTGGTGGACAGCCCCTGGGCCGATACAGCTCCTTGCGCAGCTCTCCGGAGGACAGCGCAGCAAGGGAATAGGATCTCTCTCAGGGCATCTCCCCAGCCCCAGAGCCACCCAAACCCTCCCTCTTACCTGCCGTTCCCTTTGGGTTCACATAGCAATACCCCATGTGAAGTGACCCTCCAGAGCTGCCTCCTTTAAACCATCGGTCTTGGCATTGCACACCAGACAGTCGAGTGTCATTAGTCAGAGTCAGCATCAAGGACTTGGCCGGTCAGTGGGCTGGGCTGGCTCCTCATGTCCCCAGCTCTACTCCAGGCACCTGTTTGTCCATTCACTCTCCAATTTCGGGTCAGACAGGGGTTCGCTCTGCAAAGCAAACACTGTGCAAAGGTGGCTGGGTACTTACATGGATTGTCGCCCGCAGGAGCCTGGACTTCCTGGAAGAAAAGAAGAAGAAGAATTAAAAGCCATCCCCCTGCCCCAGGGCAGTAACACCCTCAGCTGCCTCCTGCTGCATTGCATGTTTCCATGGCCGGCATGAGTTTACTCTCCGGTTAACCGGACGTACTCGATTCCAGAGTCCATGCTGCAGCCTGCCCCAGTGTAAAAAGCAAGCCACCCCCCAGCCCACGAGTCTCAATTCAGGGGGGTTTCCTGCACACTCCTGGCTTCTGTTCTGCTGAACTCGTTGAGGGAAAGGCGACATCCTGCCCTGATTTAGCAGGTGGAGGTTCTTCGTTGATCTAAAGCAGTGCTGGTCATTTCCCTGCCCGCATCCCTGCTCATCCCCCCAGCATCAGGCCAGGCATCTATTATAACCTGTCTCCCCGCAGAGTCCCACCAAAGATCTGTATAAACCAGACGGACAAGGTGAGCGGGACACATTATTTGCTGGAAATATGCTCTGATGCATTTGGCCCTTCTTTCTGTTCACAAATTGTTCATGACCCAATACCGACTTCTGTGCACACATTAGTTAGTCATACACTGAGCTTACACACACAAATGGCAAGCGATGGCTTGTTTGCCAGCAGGTAGTGGCCACTGTTCGCTCTTTGTGGTCTGTGACTGGTCACCTAAATCACATGGTGTGGCTAGTGCTCCCTGAACAGATGTCTGCAACATTTTAAACATGAGACTAACGAATGAAAACCAGCAGATAATGGGAGACAAAAAAAACTTTCCAGTACGAGTTTCCAGATGACTAATCATTCAAGCTAAAACCTGTGAAACTTGCAGGTTTCATGAACAAACCCTGTGGTGTTCTGAACACTTGTGAATAACAAATACCTTTGGTTTTGCTCAAGTGCCTAAATGTTGTAGTATTAAAGTGCATCTCTGTGTGGCACGACGAATAGTCCCAAAGCAAACTTGCAATTTGTATTAACAAAATATTTGCAAATTGCTCTGTGGTGTTTGGATGCAGGGGAGGGGGTCATGCCTTTAAGGGCTGAGCTTCCCAAGCAGAGAGTCTGGGCAGGGTGCTGGGAAACGCTTGTTGTCATGCACCAGAGGCTGCCTGTTGGAGCCCAATGGAGAATAAAGCAGATCTTGAAACACAGCGGGACCACTGAACTCACACACTGATTGTTTGGCCAGAGGGATCACTTCACCAACTGATGCAATGCAGTCACTTCTGGGGTGAAATGTGGAAGCTGTTTAACATTGCACAGCAACAGTTTAAAGCAGGCTGTGAATAGGAACCCTGTATCCAACTGAGACTTTTAGAGGTAGCCTGCAATTCCTGGAGCAGGGCTTTCTGATGGGGAAGGGGAGGAAACAACACGGCTAACTCCTCCACTCTGATGAAAACTGCCGGGGGATCTCTCAGGGCCTTGAGCGGTCACAGCTCTGGTTTGGGGTTCCCTCTGAAAGCCATCAGCAGTGATTTCTCAAATCCAATCCACTCTCTTATCTCAAAAAGAAAAGGAGTACTTGTGTCACCTTAGAGACGAACCAATTTATTTGAGCCTAAGCTTTCGTGAGCTACAGCTCACTTCATCGGATGCTCACGAAAGCTCAGGCTCAAATAAATTGGTTCGTCTCTAAGGTGCCACAAGTCCTCCTTTTCTTTTTGCGGACACAGACTAACACGGCTGCTACTCTGAAACCTCTCTTATCTCAGCATCCCTGTCCTACTGACAGGTCGCACCAACGTGGCTAGTGGGACACAGCGACCTCTGCTGTAGGAGAGGAAGCGCCGCGTCAGTCAAAGAAGCTTCCATGAGATGCACTGTGGGCCAGCACTAGTGGGAAGCCAGAGGATGCTGTGATGGCTGCCCCAGCTGCATTCCTGGCTTGGGAATATCTGTGATAAATCCAGTCGACTTCAGCCCAAGTCTCCAGACCCTCCTAAGTGACTTACGCTTCTCCATGTCATGTAACATTCCTGCTACAGAAAGCAGATTCCTGCCTTTCAGCAAGCGGGCCTTTCCTCTTTGACCCGAATCCAGCTCTCACCCGCTGCTTGTACGCTCCAGCGGCGTTGATCATCAGGTGCTTGACTGTACCCTGGGGCCTAGCTGAGGTTAGCACTGAGCACCACCTTGGAGTGGAAGAGTATAACACAGTTTAGCCTCCGATTACATCTGCATTCCTTGTCAGTTCTGCATTCCTACCACATACAGTATTTACACTGTCGCGCTCTCTTTCAAGTTCAGGTCGGCTCAGGCTGTCAAGTGTCTCTGAATCGTGCTGGTTTTCGAATTTCACGACCTGAATGCGTAACAACTTGGGCCTCTGGCCGTCTGCTAGTTGCAATGACGGTTTGGAATCCTTGAATCTTCGTCATCTCGTTCTGCACCTACAGTCTGTAGCATTTGACCTGTTGATTCTTCTTTCTGCGTAACAAACTGCAGATGTCAACAGTTTCTATTTCACTCTTCACTGGCAGTCTCAGTCACATGATCTGGGCCCTGAATTCTTTTGTATTTCTCGACAGCTGCAGTTGTCCCTCCCTCTTCTCCATCCAGTTTGGCACAAACCCGGTCACCGGGTTTGAGACCCAGCAGTTCTCGGCGTGATGTCTGTTGTTAAAGTGTCAGAAACCCTTTTATCCACTTTGGCTGCTCTCTGCGTGGCTGAAGATAGGATCTTACTGGAACAGTCGTTCTGGTTTGTCTTCCCATCAGTGTTACCCGCACAAAATTCTCTGTTACACGCACGCTCAGGGGCCACGAGTTCTATGGGCCCGTGGTGCCCGTGCTCCACCAATATGAGAGCACAGGGGCCTGGCTCCACCAAAGTTCGGGGCCAGGTCTCTTCCCCAGCCCCACCTGCCACCCCCGGGCAATTTAAAAGGGCCCGGGGCCCCCACTGCCACCACGAGCAGCACAACAGGGCTAAGGCAGCTTCCTGCCTGCCTGCTCCGCTTCCAGAAGCGGCCAGCACGTCTCTGCATGTGTGTGGGGGAGTCTCCACACACTGCCCCCACCCTGAGTGCCAACTCTGCCAACTGCAGCAATGGGAGCTGTGCGGGTGGGGCCTGCGGGCAGCGGCGCATGGAGACCCCTCCGGGCCCCCGCCTAGGAGCTGCTGCCAGAGGGGGGTGCTGGTCACTTTTGGGAGCCGCCCGAGGTAAGTGCAGCACCCCTCACTCTCTCCCACACCCCAACACCCTGCCCCAGCCCAGACCCCACACCCAAACTCCCTCCCAGAGCCTGCCCCCTGCACCCCATCCCACACCCCAACCCCCTGCCCAGACCCCACACCCAAACTCCCTCCCAGAGCCTTCCCCCCACACCCCCTATTGCACCCCTGCCCCAGCCCAGACCCCACACCCAAACTCCCTCCCAGAGCCTTCCCCCCACACCCCCATTGCACCCCTGCCCCAGCCCAGACCCTGCACCCAAACTCCCTCCCAGAGCCTGGCCCCCACACCACCAACTGCACCCCAACCCCCTGCCCCAGCCCAGAGCCCACACCCCACACTTAAATGCCTTCCCAGAGTCCCCCCTGCCCCTCCCCGCACTCCAACCCCCTGCTCCAGCCCAGACCCCGAACCCAAACTCCCCCCCAGAGCCTTAGGCCGGTGGTGCGGGGGGGGGGGGGGGAGAGGGACCTGCACAGGACTTGGACCCATTCTGGGCACCACCAACAATTATACAAACCAGTCGCCCCTGCACACTCTAGGGAACCCACCTTTACCCTCCCATGGGCTCAAGGCATAACCCTGTAAATTTAGGCACCCCACCCTTTCCCAGTTCATAGGGCTCAGGGTGTACTCTTTTGCGGGTTTACGGGGTCTTTTACCCGTGAAAGAGCCTTACACAGGAATATCCTTAACCTCTGTTTATTAACAGTCACCACATCAGAATGCACACACGAAGCACACAACACTCACCACTCCCGATAAGGCCGATGAACTGTTCTTGGTGGCCAGTCAGGATCAGGTCATCTGAGGACTCCAGTTTCTGCACGGTGTGATTGACAGGGTGCTGAGGCCTGGCAGCTCTGATCTTGGAGCTGTGTCCTGGAGTTGGTGCCAAAGAACTTCCTTTTGGACCCCAGTTTATATAGTGAATCTGGAGTCCTGCTTAGCTGTATATTAACCAATCATTTTACTAAAATATTACTCAACAATTCTCTAACCAATCCTACTGTATTGTAAAACAATCCCTTAACCCAGGGGTCGGCAACCTTTCAGAAGTGGTGAGCCGAGTCTTCATTGATTTGCTCTAATTGAAGGTTTTGCGTGCCAGGAATACATTTTACCGTTTTTAGAAGGTCTCTCGCTATAAGTCTATATATTATATAACAAAACTATTGTCGTATGTAAAGTAAACAAGGTTTTCAAAATGTTTAAGAAGCTTCATTTAAAATTAAATTAAAATGCTGATCTTATGCCGCCGGCCCGCTCAGCCCATTCCCAGTCTGGGGTTCCGATCACCTAGGCCGGCAGCAGGCTGAGCGGGGCCTGGGGCCAGGACCCCGGCTGGCGAGGGGCCGGCAGCCAGAACCCCAGACCAGCAGCAGGCTGAGCGGGGCCAGCGGCCAGGACTCCAGACCAGCAGCGGACTGAGCGGGGCCGGCGGCCGGGACCCCGGACCGGCTGCGGGCTGAGCGGGGCCGGCGGCCGGGACCCCGGACCAGCAGCGGGCTGAGCGGGGCCGGCGGCCAGGACCCCGGACCGGCTGCGGGTGAGGGGGCCGGCGGCCGGGACCCGGACGGCTGCGGGCTGAGCGGGGCCGGCGGCCGGGACCCCGGACCGGCTGCGGGCTGAGCGGGGCCGGCGGCCGGGACCCCGGACCGGCTGCGGGCTGAGCGGGGCCGGCGGCCGGGACCCCGGACCGGCTGCGGGCTGAGCGGGGCCGGCGGCCGGGACCCCCGGACCGGCTGCGGGCGAGCGGGACCCCGGGCGGGCTGAGCGGGGCCGGCGGCCGGGACCCCGGACCGGCTGCGGGCTGAGCGGGGCCGGCGGCCGGGACCCCGGACCAGCAGCGGGCTGAGCGGGGCCGGCGGCCGGGACCCCGGACCGGCAGCGGGCTGAGCGGGGCTGGTGGCTGGGACCCTGGACCGGCAGTGGGCTGAGCGGCTCAGCCTGCTGCCACTCAGCCCGCTGCCGGTCTGGGGTTCCGTCCACCGGCTCCTGCCAGCTAGGGTCCTGGCTGTCAGCCCCGCTCAGCCCGCTGCTGGTCTGGGATCCCGGCCCTCTCTCTCTGCACTGAGCTGAGGTTAGGGGTGCACTGAGCACAGGGCTGGGGGTGAAGGAACAAGCTGGGTGTTGGGGTGCAGGGTCTGGCCAGGAGCTAGAGAGGGGGGGCAGGCTCAGGGTTGGGGCAGGAGGTTTGGGTGTGGAGTGCTTACCTGGGCAGCTCCCATTTGGCACGAGGGGTACAGGACCTCCCGTTTGGTGCTCAGGGTGGGGGCGGGAATGTGGGGGGTGCAGGGGTCAGGGCAGAGGCTGGGAATTTGTGGGGGGTTCAGGGGTCAGAGCAGGGGGCTGGGTGTGTGTGAGGAGGGTGCAGGAGTCAGGGCATGGAGTGTGGGGGGCTGGGTATGTGGGGGGTGCTGCAGTAAGGGCTGGGGTCGTGGGGGGCCTGGGTATGTGGGGGGGTGCTGCAGTCAGGGCTGGAGTCGTGGAGGGTGCGGGGGTCAGGGCAGAGGTCTGGGGTGTGTGGGGGTGCAGGGGTCACGGCAGAGGGCTGGGAGTGTGGGGGCTGCAGGGGTCAGGATAGGGGGCTGGGGTGTGGGGAGAGGTGTAGGGGTCAGGGCAGAGGGCTGGGGGTGTGGGCTGGGGTCATGGGGGTGCTCCCAGCCCCTTGCCCTGAGCGGTTTACGGCAGGGGGCTGGAGGAGATAAGCCCTGATTCTACCCTCCCTTCCCCAAGGCCCCGTCCCCACCTCTTCTCCGCCTCCTCCCCGGGGCAGCGAGCGTGCTGCGGCTCCGCTTCTTCCCCTCCCTCACAAGGGCCATCAGCTGATGGGCAGCAAGGAGGGAGAGGAGGAGGGGCAGGGCCCCAGCACACTGGGGGAAGAGGCGGGGGAGCAGGGACCTTGCCTGCCCTGCAGCAGCAGCCGGCAGGACCCAGCTTCTTCACTCTGCCCCCGCGGGGTGGGGGTGGGGCGGAGAAGAGCGGGCCAGGGCGGGGAGGATTTTTAATGGCACTCTGCTGCCTAATGGGGTCCCGGCCTGGATTCGGCAGCAGGCTGAGCGGGGCCAGTGGCTAGGACCCGGCAGGCAGCAGCGTGCCATTAAAAATCGGCTCGGGTGCCATAGGTTGCCGACCCCTGCCTTAACCAATCAGTCACCACCACCATAGTTGATTTACACCCAACAAAATTAGTTATGCAACTGATAGAAACAATCAAAGAACCAGACCAAGACCATACAGATAAACAACAGAGAAGTGCGGACCATAAAGACAAAACAATAAAGAAGTGAGGGATTTCACAGCCACAACTATTGATAAGTGATTTCTTGCCAGACAGACTGCTGTCAAACTAAGTTTTCTTTAAACATCTTAAGATCTGTTTCCAGGTAATAATGTCCCCTGAATTCAGATAAATCTGCAGCTAGTTTCTTCCAAGGTGTCTTTTCACCGCCAGTTGGGGGTTTTGCACACTGTATGGTTCAGCCTGGTCTCTTAAGTTGATTTGTACTGGATCTCCCTTCCAAAGTCCAATATCATCAAATCCTCCATCAAGTTCTTCCACCTTTCTCATTAGTCTGATCATGGCTGCCACGCGACGGCTGAGGAGGTTGTTGGTCTCTGATCCTTTGACCACATGTCCCCTGAATGCATAGCTTTTGTCTTTGTAACTTGTTTCCCTGGTGAACTGGCTCAGGCAGTTCAGAATACTTCCAGGGTTAGTCAGAGCTGTGTCAGGTGACTTCAGCTCAGGGAGAGGTTGAAAGTGATAGTAAGTCCCGTCTGAGATGATTGTGAGGTCAGCTCCAGAGTCTATTTTAAAGTAAATAGTCTTGCCAGGAATATTCAAGAGACAAGGTGGGTGAGGTAATGTCTTTGATTGGACCAACTTCTGTCAGTGAGAGAGACAAGTTTTTGAGCTTACACAGAGCTCTTCTTCACATCTGGGAAATGTATTCAGAGTGTCACAACTAAAGGAACAAGCTGTTCCACTTTGGACTTAGCTGTGACACTCTGAATACATTTCCCAGACCTGAAGAAGAGCTCTGTGTAGCTGGAAAGCTTGTCTCTCTCACCAACGTAAGTTGGTCCAATAAAAGCTATTACCTCACCCACCTTGTCTCTCTAATACCCTGGGACAGTCATGGTTACAACAACATTGCCAGGAATATTCAGTTTCACTCTCTAGGCAGGCTCTATATCATCACATCTGATAGATCCCAGAAACAATGGCTCTGGGTTGTCTGTAATATGAGTCAATTGTCTCACTGCTCTGGTGCGGCAAACAGCTGCAAAATGTCCATATTTCATTCAATTATTACACCATGTGCCTCTGGCTGGACATGTATCATCTCTTGGAATAGGACCTTTTCCACACCTTGTGCATGTAGACTGGAATTCGTCCCTCTTAGCCTGGGCATTCTCTCTCCTTGCCTCCCGGGTTTTATGATCATGACTTTTAACACTCAAGTGTCTGTTTATAGCTTCTAAGTTAGCTTCAGGTTTTTCAAATTGCTCCTGCCTTTTGTTCTGTTTGGCTAATTCTGACTGTTTTGCTCTCTGTATAGCTGTGACAAGGGTTAAGCTCTCTTCATTTGTAGCTGCTGTGAAAAGTTTCAGAGTAGCAGCCGTGTTAGTCTGTATTCGCAAAAAGAAAAGGAGGACTTGTGGCACCTTAGAGACTAACCAATTTACTTGAGCATAAGCTTTCATGAGCTACAGCTTACTTCATTGGATGCATCCGATGAAGTGAGCTGATGCATCCGATGAAGTGAGCTGTAGCTCACGAAAGCTTATGCTCAAATAAATTTGTTAGTCTCTAAGGTGCCACAAGTACTCCTTTTCTTTTTGTGAAAAGTTATGATCTGTTAACCCAATAACCAGCCTGTCTCTGATATTTTCATTATTTGCGCTCCCATAAAAATCACACTTTTCAGCCAATATATACAGAACTCTTAGAAAACATTCAACATTTTCCCCTGGTCCTTGAATTCTCTGATGAAAACATGCTCTTTCATACACCATATTTCTCTGAGGTATAAAGAATGCATCAAACTTAGCTGGAACCCTTTCATAGTCATCTTTATGACTGTCTTCAGTAAAGCCAAAGGATTTAAAGTTACGCTATGCTTGCTTACCCATCGTATAAATTAAAGTTAATACCTGGATATCTCCAGTTTCTTTATACAGTTTGGTAGCAATGCAAAATCTTGCAAAATCCTGCTTCCGGTCTTTTCATTGTGAAGGTTTGTCAAAGCTGAAGTTCTCTGGGGCATTGAAGAATGGCATGTGGATGAGATCCTGCAACGTTTGGTGCTGTTCCTTCTGTCTGCAGCCTTTGCTGGTGTTTTCTTTCTGTTAGTTTACTCCTGACACCATGTCCTGTCCCTCTGTACCAGAGGTGGACTGGCTATGGAGCTTGCTTGTACACTCCAGACGTGTTCAGTGTAAGATCCTTTAACACTCTGCCAGGTATGGCTGAGGTTAGCTTAAGTAGGGTATTTTACACAGTATGCCACCTAATGGTTTGATAATATAATACAGTTTAGCATTCCATGACAGGTGCCGAGTGAGTTTAGGCACCTGCAGTATTTAGTCATGGGTTTTTGGCACTTACATACTTTTGAAAATCCCACTAGGCACCTAAATATCTTTAAAAATATGGCCTGTTTTCTCTATTAGCCCCTCAGACTCACACTGGTCTCTGACTGTCAAGCTGGGTTCCTCCCATCTCACAAGTGATCACTAGTGCCAGAGGTTCTGCTGGATATATTGCTTCCTCAGTTACACCTGTGCAACTCCCATTGTCTTCAGATTCTGACTTCAAATGACTTCAGATTCTGACTTCTGAGGTCAAATTGAGGATTAGTTGATACATAATTCAACTTCCCATCTCAAATACTCTC